AAAAAAAAAAAAAAAAAATTCGCTTCGAGAAAACACATTATGCGTTCTATATTTTTGATTTTAAAAGCGTGCGACTTCACAGATTTAAGATCAGCTTGACTTGTTACGTCAGTCTCGATTGTGCGAGGTCAACTGTGTCGAAGAGATTGAGATTTTCGGACGCTATGAAATAAAATATCTCGACAAACACACATGCAGATATCTATATAGGTCAATTTAAAAATAATATCAAAGACGTCAAGTGTATATATCGTCACGTGAGGGTTAGATGTGTTCCATGTGTATAGAAAATCACATCTTCGATATACAACATTTTAACCCTCAAGATAATATATGTATATATATATATATATATATATACAATATATACGGTTGTGTATGAAGATTAACAAGAAATATTCACTCGATTCTCGGTCAGCGCGTACCCACTCATCTTAATCAAAGCGTGCATTCACTCAATAATCTCAATCACATACCGCGCTGGCATACGCAAATCATATCGCAAAGACTATGTGTACGTATGAGATTCGCACATTCTTTCGGTTCGACTAGTCATCCGTCACGCGAAAGCGCAATAATAGTAGACACTTTCGACGTACGTGAAGTATGCGTGATGATAACACGCAATGCGATACCGATGATGATCTCTAGCCCCGCGGCGTGATAAAAATATCTAATGAAAGTATAATAACGTCGCGATAAACGTAATTATGTATGCACATGTACAATCAGTCACACACACACACAAGCATATTCTGACACCATTCACGTAATATAAAAAGTACATAATATTATATAAATATATTTTAAACATATTTTAATATTTTTTAAAGATTTTAATGTATAAAATATATAAAAAACATATATATAAAACAAAAGTGTTAAATAACACATACACAAATAAAATAGGAATTCTCATTTGCAACTTCTTCTTCGTTCTATTCGCGTGGCAAAAACTATAATTTGTGATAAAATTTTTAATAAAAATCACAGATCAAAAATGTGTTGTAGTGTCTGCGATTTAAATTGTGTTTCCTATTCTTCTCTTTCTTGCTTATTTAAGTTTCTTATAAAAAGAAATCAACAGAGACACGTGTCAATTCGGATAATGTTATTTGCGCTTTAATGTGTCATTCTCGGAAGATCTATCGATTCGCGCCGGGGGACAAAGTTCGCCGTAACGTGACGTGCACATATTTTTGGCAAAACTCGCGATATAGACGCGCATGTGGGCGTGTGTGATTTCACGGTCGCGGCTCTCATCTATATGTACAAGGTCCACATCGGCGATGGTCATAACGGCAATGTGGATACTCTCTCCTCTTGTGTTTCGTATTATTTTATTAAAATCTCGCCAAGTCGTGGGCGGAATACCCAAATGTGAACTCGCGGGTATTTTTTTATTTCCGCTTTTAAAAGTTCACATAGGGAGTCGATGTGGCAGTGACTTAAAAACGGCGTAGTTCTTGTCACGATGCATTTCGCGACCTTGACCCAGCGCAAGACTGAAGAACGAACGATCTATCCTTGAATCGTTTCCTTGATCGTCGTGCATCTTCATTCTCTCTTCAAGGCTGCGTATTATTCTGAGGTAACCATCCGTATTGACTTTTTATCAGTTTCTTTGACCTTCCGTTTCGATTTTTCACAACGAACCTTTTGTATCCGCGTGCAATAATAAAATACGCGCATAAAAATGCAACAGTTCGCCCTTTTTCCTACCGTTTATTTTTTCCTGTTTTGTCCTCGTCAAAAGTGGAGTATCTCGAAGTTGGAAAATCAATTTACAATTACTCGAGCGAGGAATTAGTTTGCTTTGATTAAGTTTTTCCGACTTCCCGTTAGTTCGCGTTGAGCAACGAAATGACTCGCTGAATAACAATATATTCGCACAGCTGACGATAACAAAAAAAAAAAAGTCACCGAAAGAAAAACATCTATCAAATTCACATTCGTTTTGGATTTCATTTCATTGAGATTTTGTCGTTTCTTTGGAATTAAATGGATATCTTGCAAGTTTGTGCTCTCCGTGCACGCGCGTATCAAATTCGAGTTCACACGCCAAATTTGATTGATTCACGCGTAGATGCGCATTCCGGGATATTGATCACAATCAAGAATGACATAACGGGAATTGTAATCCGCCGGATGAAAGCGAGACGGAATAGCGCAATGCATTTGCATAAATGCTTGCCGATCAAGATTACGCAACAACAGCTAACGTCAGCAAAATGGAAAAAGCGCAGATGTATATAAAAACAATTTAACACAAATTTTGTAAAAAACATTCCTTACAATATTTCATTCGCATTTGTGCGGAGAAAATCGTGTAATGAAGTAAAATCAGAATAAAAAATCAAAAAAATTGTTCCGCCGTGTCGTGACTTTTCGATCGCTATTGATCGAAAAAAAATATATATATATATTTTAAAAAATACATATTTGGTGTATTTGAATCGGAATGTAGATATTTATGTATTTTTCTCGGGGTCGATTCTATTCAAAACGATTCCGATTGTTGTTATCAGTTTTCCTTTTTCTTATCAGTTTTTCCTTTTTTCCTTCTCAAAAGACCAAAAAAACAACAAAAATCGAGACTGTTCCAGTCGGAATCGATACAATAACTACTCGGTGATCCATTTTCAATAGTCGTGTACGTTATTCCATTAGATTAGTCGTCGATTTACGTTGAAGACCAATAGACAGCGTGGCGACATGTGTTTCTACAAATTATAATAGACTCTATTGAATTTCTCTTTAGACGTGTCGGTGATGTTTACTTCTCTAAGCGCGACGTTTCCAAGCGAGAACACTTTAGTTAGACGAAACACACGACGTAAACTTGTGTGTGATTCGAAACAGCAAACAAGAGGTGAACGACTCCACGCTGTATAACCCACATACCGACGATTTTGAAACGGACGTTTTTTTCGGTCACTCGTTATTTACGTTATCATCATTTAATTGTTCTTCAAAAATATCTAGGCGTTTTCTCTGAAGTCAGTTTCGCTTTTATACACACAAGATATCGCTCTGTGCTGGTTTTATCGCTCTGTTTTATTTCTCTTTTAACCTCGCACTCTGAAATATATTTGTGATAACAACCAACAGTGATATCGTGATCACGCGAAGAATCTTAAAAAACGAAAACAACATTGATGACACGCGCTCCTACGCGAATATTTACTCATTAACGTGATAAGGCTTGTTCTATAATACAGTCGTAAGCTGTAAGTCGTAAGAAATTGACCAATCGAAAATTCTTCTGTGATTTGTCTGTGATTGGTCAATTTCTTACGACTTACAATTTACAACTTACATGTATTGTAGAACAGGCCAAGAAGAAACTCACTCGGGTTGTTTACGCGCGAAGCGCGATTGTATCACGTGCGTGTATCCGTTATCGAGCCTTATCGGGGAGAATGTAAACGACATTGCGAGTGAAAAAAAAAAATCATATCGTCTAGGATATAATTGGAAGAAGGAAAAAAATCGTTTGAACGCGAAAGAAAAAAGAATCGCGTTGCACGCGCGCGTAAAATTAAGTTAAGAATTTTGAAAAGTCGGATTTGTGCACTACGCAATCTGTGCGCGTCATGCGCGCGCATAGATTAGCATATTAACAACGCTGTGTTTTCAATGATATATTGTAAACACAAATATAATAGCGAGTTGTTTACACAAAGTGTGTCCTCGAAAGGAGCTTGCGAGGTTCTTAAGTGCGATATATCGTTGAAGAAATTGCATTATTTTGTATATTTCTTCTCTCTTTCTCTCTTTTTTAATACGTGTAATTATTTTTCTCAGAGAGTCCTTGTTTTTGTCAAGCTTGTTTAATAATCATGAATACATTACACGTAAATAAATTTAAAAAATTATATAAAAATAAATTTTTAGTTATTTATATATAAATTTATTAAGTTATTTATATATAAATAAATTTTAAAATGGTTTGTTATCTTTAATAAATTCACGTCTAAACAGGTTAAAATAAATCCAAAATACTGTGTGTGTGTGTGTGTGTGTGTTAAGAAATAAAAACTTATACGATCTGTAAATTGAAAACGTAAATTCGATGTATGCAAATTTTCTATCTTACAATCGCGAACATGACGCAATGTTGTTGCGCAATTATATTACAAATTTTTCTTCGTTAATTCAAAACACGTTTGTAACTATTTTGTTTTCTAAATCATACAAATGGGATATTGTTGTTTGTCGCGATTTACTTTTCGTACAATCGACTTGACGTAGCATTATGCAAGTTCACGCTATAATTGCAATATCGAACAACGAAAAAGATATCGCGCGCGACGAGATATCGCTCCGTTTCATTAAGTAACAAAACTAATAATCATCAACTGTGTCCGTGTCTGTGTGTTTTTACTGACACATATTGCGATAGTATATATGCATAAAAGTTTTATGTGTGTGCACGTGATGCGTACATCGCGTGTGTTGCTAAACGCTCTTAAGTAAAATTTGAAATATCTTTCCTCTCTTAATACGTTTTTTTTTTTGTAATAAAATAATTGACTTCCGCGTATATGCACGGGGCGTACTTTTTGCGTGAGTAATTTTCGCGACCGCAGTAAAAAAAACAATATCCGGATTAAATCAATTTTGAAACGTGTATTACAAAGTTCCGTTCGAAATTGGGCCGCCTCTCTTCTCTGTCAATCGCGCTTAATCGACGTAACAAGCGGGAGAGAGAGAGAAAGAGAGAGAAAGAGCCGCGCGAGACGAACGGCACGTACGCACGCCACGGGATACGGTGTTTCTCCGTGGACAAATCGAGACGACCGGGAAAAAGAAAAAGCGAACGCCGGCGCACGTCAGGGGAACGCAAACAACGGGCGTGAGAGGTGACGAGAAGAAAAGCGTGCGATGCGTCAAGGGCGAGAAGAGAGAACTCACCGAAATCGATGAACTGTTTTATCGAGAGCGGCGAGGGGTTGAACTGCGAATAAAAGTCCAACATCTTGTTGATGTTGCCCAGACAGTGCCGTGTGAGCTTCATCTCGCGGCGCGTCGTCGTTACACATTAAATCCGCGGGGACGGAGAATCCGATTTTTTATTTCGCAGCACGTTGCAAGTCGCGAGCGTGTAAACGCGGCGTTCCGTGTCCACCGGAGCAGATCGCGACCTATACTCCGCGGTACTCGAACTTGAAGTAGCGGAAGACGAAGCCGGACCGTGATGCTCGTAACTCTCTCTTTCTCTGTTGGCAGTTGGTGGCAGAGTAGGCACACAGCTGCTGCGGCGAGAATAAAATATAACTGTGGTCGAGCCGAGGCTGAGGGAATCGCGTCAACGAGTGCTCGGGAACTCGGGAGCGTGGTGCGGTGTATGCGGGTCTTACGCCGGGCCGCGCATGCGTAATGCAAGTCGAATTATTCACCGACTCGCGCGCGCACACATACACGTGAAATTAATTGTAGTTTAATCATATAAAGTGATTAATTTACTTTGTTTGCCTATTCTAACAAAGTTATTTGTTTATGTTGTACGCTTATATATATATGTAACAGAATCAGAAAAATATGAAAAAGTTGTTTATTTTAAATATTTAAATATAAATGAAATATTGTTTCGCGCGGAGAGAAATAAGTGAAAAGAATTATTTTATGATACACACTCGCACAAACACATAACAAATAATATTTCTCGTTTACATAAGAAAAAAAAAAGATTAAAATTCGTTAGCGCATTCTACTTTTTACGTCGTTCGAATTCCGGAAGTGACAGACGTCGCAACGCCACCAACTCACACCGGGAAAATTAACCTTCCCGTTCTTGTTCTCGAGACTTGTGTGTGGCGCGAGTCTCGCCGCTTGTTTCACAGACCGTTTCACGAGAATCGCACAATCGCGTTTCGCAAAACGAGACTCGCGAACGCGTCGAGAATCGCATACCGATCGCTCGATCGCGGCGTGACACATTGTTTTCAGGTTAGGGATNTTTTTTTTTTTTTTTTTTTNTTGCGACGGTCTTCTGCTAGACGAGCAGCGTCGTGCGAAATTTCGAATTTGCACTTTTTCGGTCGTAAAAGCCGTCCGACATCGTCGCGGCCGCGCGAGATATCGCGAGTGTCACGTGACGAACCTTTTCTCGCGCGCTCGAAAAAGGGCATGTCGCTCTCTCGTGTGAGATTTCAGGCTTTTTGGCCTGGTTTAGTCGCGCGCTTGACTCACGCGCTGGCGCTGCCGACTTCCGGCGGAGACAAGCCCATGTGGACGATCTCAGCGGAGGCTCCGATTAGTCCGTGAACAGCGTGTTTTTCGTGCGTAGCTCTTCTCCGCGCTCGTTGCGTGTCACGCACGTCAAAGTTCCCGTCGGTTTCCCATCGTGCGATCCGGACTTGGTGGCGTCGCAATGGCGGATCTGGATAACTTCTTTGCCAAAAAAGATCGAAAGAAGGCGAAAGGAAAGAAATTCGCCACGACCGACGAAGTCGCTAAAAAGCTGGAAGAGACGGGCAAGCGACTCGAGAAACCCAAGAAGGAGAAGCCGGTGAATCCCGAGGGGGACGAATCCCCCACTGAGGTGAGACGATGCCTAAAGCAACGCGAACCGAATGTTTCTTCGTCGTGGGCAAAGGGAGGGCGGAGGGGGTTCTAGAAAACTCGTGTTCGCTCACGGCGCTGCCATGTTTGCTCCCATATGACGAATGTCACGTTGCATAGGGCGGCCGATGGTGATGACGCGCGAAATGTCTCGAATTAGCTGGAGCACGTTTTATGTAATCGTCGAACGCGCGAGACACGTGCGTCGAAGCGCATTTCTCCGAGTTTTTCTCAATCGTGAGGTTTCTCGCGTTTCACGTGACTCGGAGGGTGCGAAACCATGGGCACGCATTTTTCGCGTAACCGATCGCATATTCCAATTCTATCTTAGATATGTTCACATCAGAAATATTAAACAAAGTTTGTCGGTTACGCAAAAAAAATATGTGCCGTGACATCTCACTAATACTACGTAATGTGCGTTTAGTGCGATATGTAAAAAGTGAAATTTATTTTCTGGATTTTTTTTCAGTTCCTGCGTTCCTACATTTTTAATGCGTTATAGATTGTTATTTTTTCGTTATGGAATTATATGAGAGATTCAATTATAAAAGAATCAACATTAGAAATGTTTTATTTGTGTGTCACAAATCACACAGAAAGACACAATTTTTTCTTTTATTGCTTTCTAGGAGGAAGATGAATGGAAAGAATTCGAGGAGGAGAAGAAGGACTACAGTGGTCTAAAAATCGGAGTTCTGACAATAAATGACAGCCTTGAAGCGGAGTCGGACGATGAGAGGGGTACAGGCGAGAATAGTTCGGACGGAGAATCCGGTGAGGGCGGTACAAAAAACTCGGGACCATGGAAGAAACCGGATCTACCGCCAGAAGTAGTGCCAGAAGTAGTGATGCCTGCGCCATCAGCGGCACCACCTGCGTCCACTGGAACTACAAGTTACAAAGCGCCACATTTAAGAAATCAATCCTCGTTTACTAGTACTCCACGACCACGGGGCAAGAATGTCGCACCTGACATAAGCAGCGAGGAATATTTCCCAACGTTGAGCTCGAAACCCCCACAGCAAAATAACACCAGTACTCAGTGGGGAAGACGGTAAGATACAGTCGGGATGAATAATGATGTATTGTCAAAGGAGAGTCAAATAAGACAATTTTCTTCCACAAGATATATATTTACAATGTATTTCCAATCATAGGCGGCGAGACGAAGGAGCGTTCGAGGAAGTTCGTAACCGGGGTGGCAGTAGATACGTGCCGGACACGCAAGCTCAAGCGCCCAAACTCTCTTTGGGTAACAAATATGACGCGTTGTCGCAAGATCAGAGCTGAAAACACCTGTCCGGATCAAATCAAACGACAAATCAACATTACATCGTCGCTCCTCTCCGTTTCGTGGCCCAGCCGTGCCCAAATCTATTTTCTAGACTTAGGATTCAGACGCGTGTATCATAAATAGCATGCACATACATTTGTGTAAGATTCGGAGACGTTGATTCTGATTCTCTTTTTGTCGACGATCTTGAAGTGATCGCGCAAAACGGATCATCGATCCCTTGTGTAAGAAAAGAGCTAGGAGTACACTTGGATATCCGGATACTATTTACATTATATTTACGGGTGGAATCGGTTTCTAACGGATACCTGTACGAAGATTTATTTGTGATGCGAAAAATTACGTCCGTGCAAGACGGACGAGAAGTTGTACGCGTGTGTGACGCAGGTGCTCGTATGATTCCGATTCTCTTTCCGAGTCCTACTTTATATCCGCACGTGCGCCCACAAAATCGTGTAATTTAAACTGGAAACGAATATCGTACATGTGTATGCGTATAAGCTTATTTTCATACAAGGTGTAGACAAGAACTGCGGTTGGAACTCGACTTTTATATATACACACATATATATATATATATATACATATATTATATGTATATATATATATATAAATATATATATATATATACATATATATATTTCATTTTGTAATCAGCATGTTAGTACGCTGCTTCCGACAAATGCGTACGACGAAAAAGGATGCACCGGCGCTCGAGTTCTTGAACGGACAAACAACTCTTTGTCAAACGCGGAAAAAAAGAAAAAACAAAATACGCGTTATTGCCGTTACGCAAATAGTACTTTAAAACAAATCAGTATCGTTTGTTGGAATACTTTACATGGTATTCGAACTTTTTTTTTTTTTTTTTTTTTACACGGTGCTACTTTTAATTTAGCGTGCATACTTACTGCCACGGAGATCGATGCCTTCTCATTGAGATTATCGGTGTAGATAGAACAGAAACGTGTTGTGTGGAGCATTGTGACGTCCGAACACGATAAACTTCGAGATCGGCACGGCAATGTCGGGGGAAATTTACGCGAGAGAGAAAGAGACAGAGAAAGAGAGTGATCTCAGCTGTTTTTAGAATTATATCTTTCGTAAGTCACGAGTCTCGAGAGATCGCAAGATGCCTCTCTTGGATTCTCTCTTTCTTTCTCTCTTTCTCTCTCTCTCTCTCTCTCTCTCTCTCTTTTTCTCTCTCTCTCTCTCTCTGCTTTTGGAAGGGGAAGATAGAGAGATTGTCGCTTCGCTCAAAATGGCAACGTGCGTCAACGAATGAGAGAATTTTTAGATAAATTAATTAAGGTATATATTTATATATTATTAAACAAATGTACGCGGGGCTGGGCTTTGGAAACGGTGCGAAAATAAGAGATAAGAATTTTGAAGTGTAAACACACGAATGAAACTTGAGTGAGAGTAGCGAGAGGGTGCGAAGGGCGAAGTATAATTGCGAAACGCGACGGGCGTGTCGCGGCGATGTTGTTGTGTATACAAACTAGAAAGAAGAAAGACGTACCGCATTCACTCGTGTTAACACGTAAAAAAAAAAATCCTACGTACCTCTTTGTTGACGATTGTGTAATTTTCCTCTTTTTTTTTTTTTTTTTTTTTTTTTTTTTTTTGTTGAAGAGAAAAGAATTTCTTTCTCGAGACAAAGATATCGAAAGGGAGGAGCGATACACATAGATGATATCACAAGTCCGTTTCTCAGAAGAGACGGTTTTTTTCTCGTTAGCGAATCTTGTTGACGGAAGGGAGGAGCACGTTGTTTTCGAGATATACGAGAAGAGAACGCCATATACGGAAACGGTAGGATACTAAATATGAATTCTTGTATAGCGTGTGATAAAATGTGATTATTTATAAATAAATTACCTAGGGTAACTCGTACGTTACTGTCTTTGAATATTTTTTTTTTTTTTTTTTTTTTTTTTTTTTTTTTTTGTTAATCGTATCGTGTGTCATTGATCGAAAAATCCTCCAGCGCGAGAGAAGAGGCAACGACGAATTGGTCAGACCGATCGTTTCACCGGAAATGAAAGCGCAACATCCGCTGAAAGTGTATCGGTCTTCGGTGATAATGCGCTGCAAGAAAAATTTATAATTACCCTAAATTTATAATTAATTACTCACACGACGAGAATACGCAACATTTGTGCCTCTCGAGGACGGATTCAAATTGATTTTTTAGTCGCCGCGGCGGTGCGGATTAGCCTGCCCTTTGTTACAGTATAGTTGAGATAACAATAATTTTATCGCTATTGTTATATATATGAGAGAGAGAGAGAGAGAGAGAGAGAGAAAGAGAAAGAAAGAAAGAGAAAGAACGATATATAGAATGACAGGAAGTGAGTGTGCGCGAAAGAGTGGGGTGCGTGACATATATTTAATAAAATTCGATCACAAAATACATCATGAGTTTAGTCGTTTTCTTTTGCTCCTTTCAGATTAAAATATAAGAATTGTATATTACAAATTAATGCAACAACAATCACGTTATAATATTCTTAGGCACAAAAGTGTCCGTGTTATCCTTGGAAAAAAGGAGTTTCTAAACAACATGATATTCCATCATCAAATAGATTCGATAAAACACTAGGTGTTTTTCTCTCATTCCTCGGAAGGGTTAACAAATACAAGAGCGTTTCTTATCCTGCGCTCGTCCGCGGATTTGATGGAACATTTTTTAGAAAACGTCGTCCGGGCTCGCCGATTCATCAACGCTGCAGAAAACAATAACAGAGAAAAATAGCGAGACAATTTTTTTTAGTCTTGCACTTCCTTTCTGTGATTATAAGACGGATCGCGATCATACTTCTCGCAATACTTGAGCCCGTGACTCCCGTTGTTGCTGTAAAACTCGTACATTGGACGTTCCAACAGAGAAGGCTTGAACCGCGGCAGAAAATATACCCAAGCCGATATGATCTCGCTCACCTGAAAGACAAAAACAAGTTCCCTATTTGAGGAAAATAAAATTTATGATTTGATCTCAAAGAATAAATTCAGGAGAAAAACGCGCGCGTTTATATAGAAATATCAAAAAAAAAAAAAAATCACCTCCTCTAAGGGTTTTCCAAAGGACACTAGATTTTCCGGAGCCATCAATATCTGGTCCTGCGTTCGCTCGTAAAACGTAGGATTCTCCTCCAGTTCGTCCAATTTTGCCAACATTTGGGAATCCACGTCGTATACTTCCCCGAGTACTTGCTGTTTTTTGATCGAAAAATAATCGTGCGCATAATTTTTCACCGCGATAAACGCTGTTCAATTGCGTTGATAAGCAAGAAACTGAGAGAAGTCGCTCGAAATTGCGCCGATTTAATCAGAGGTGAGTAAATAATATTCGGAGTAGAGAGCAAAAGTACGAAATATGTTCTTCGTGAAAATGTCAAGTGAGATGTCAAATAAATCAACTATATATAGTTTATATTCAATATATCGTATTGTTTGCGTGTGGACGTTTGTATTTAATCTTTAAACATAATAAATCTATCGTCCATTTTTTTTTCAATGTTGCAAATAAAGAATTTTCGAGCATCAAAACACAGACGAAAATAAAAAGATACAAAATTGATTGACTCAAATTTTCTCGGGAGTCTTCAGAGACTTTCTTCAACTCACATGGCCGATATTCGGTTGCTTCAAGAGGAAGGGCACGTTGTACTTCGTTGCGATCACCAGTGGATACCGAACGCTCGTTCTGCCGACACCCAGGAACTTTGCGAAGCCGTTCGCGGCGTTCTTGAGCAAAAAGTGATTCGGCTCGCCCCGTTTCAGCGTGCCGTACACGAACACGCGGTGCAGCGGGCTCTTGAACAGGTTTTCGTACATGTTACACGATGTGCGTTAAAAAAAACACCAACAAAAAAACACGCACGGAGGACGGGGTTTGTCACGCGCCACTGCCAGCCATCGTGATAACAACGATGGATCGTAAGCAATGATATATTATCAGGTGTTATATATTTGTTACTTGCGGGAGTCACGTCACACAACAAAAAAGTCGAGGAAGATAATTTGAGGTTTGCGTACCTCGCATAATTGGAATGTGTCACGAAATTGTGTACCGATAGCACAAACTACCGATTACGCTCATTACGAGACAGTACACGAGTACACTCGGAGTTTCGTGAAGTTCGAGAAAATGTAAATGACACACACACACACTTAAAGAGAAAAACTTGCCCTAATATTGTTGACTGACATACACGTAACATAACCTGCGGATTGTTCGGCACGGCCGTCGCAAGTAACAACAGAACATGCGTTTGACAGTACACGGTAACTGTCAAGTATCAGCTGAGAGAGGTAAACAGCGCCGCCGCTAGATGTCAGTAAAGTCAAACCGGCGCGATTCATTCGGAATATTGTTTCTACATCTCCCGTTTTTGTTTTCGTGTTCTCACAATTTATTTTCACTTTACTTTGTCGCAATTACAAGCGACAATTGCGCCCCGATGTGTGTTGTGATCAGATTAGTGTGGTTTAATATTATCGAAACGGACGCAAAACACATGAAGAATTCGCGAGAAATTATTACGGTATATTTTTAATAACATAATTGAATCTGTTACGCGATGACATCTCTCGCGAGACAAATCTTCTCTCGCGCGTGAAGCGTCGCTAATGCGATTAAATTGATTACCTCCGTGATCGTTGCAGGTTCCTCGTCCAGAATCTGCGATTGCAAATCGCGATGGAAATCCATTTCGATAATAAGAATGTTAAGAAACACGACTGCAGCGTGCAGCAACATTTTCACAAAAGTACAATACGACCGAGATTGACAATGCGACCGGAGCTCGGACGCAGAGGGCATTGCGCAGTGTAGATAAGATAAAGATCGTCCAGTAAGATCATTGAGAAATTGCGCCATTCCCGATCTCATTGCTCCGACGAACAATGAATCTGAGTAAAAGGTGATGTATTAAGGAAATCTGAATTTAAAGACCATAAAAAATTGTAACACAAGTAATTAAAAAAAATAATTTCTTCAAGCTCAAAGTCCAAGTAAAAAATTAAACATACGGTTTCAAAATTAACATTGACTTTTTCTGTCAAAAATAGAAAAAAGGGAGGAGAATTGTGTGTGTGTGTGTGTGTGTGATGTGTTGGAAATGTAAACAAAGATTTAATCCATGTGATAATATTACATTATAAATTTCTTGGAAATTGATTTGCTCTCCTCTGGCACGAGATTTTCACTCCCTTGAATCGCCTCGCTGTCCTGTCTGCGACGTAAAAGCTCTTGAACCCGCAGTCTAGACTCCTCGTCTTTTTTGGACGTCATTGCCCTAATTACGGAGATGAGAGAAGCTTGTGAAACAAATTGATACAAAGCGTTTCTGTCGTTGCGAATGTGTGTTCGGTACAATGCTAACGATTACTTTTTCAGAGATGCGTATAGCAGTCCTCGAGTGGAATCGTTCAGTAGCGTGTGCGATATAACACAAGCGCAGCATTAATTTCTTCAACGTTTTACTCGTCACGTTGTTATCTGGACGTAAAAAAAAAAAAAAACAAAAAAGCGCAATAATTCTCAGCGGGACAGAAATCGATCAGCGTAAAACAAACTCACCTTTTGAGAAAATACTCGAATAGAAGACGTCAACCGGAAGTTACTTTCTATCTTCGACGAACTGTGACTGACCGGTCAACTGTATTTTGAAAACTATCGTAAATCGACTCTTTTTATTAAAAGCAACTTGAAAAATCCAAGCACGTACACGTTTCTTAGAACTCGAAGTTAAACTTCGACGCAGCGACGTGTTACTTTCCCTCTCCCGCGCTGTGACGGAAGCTTTCAGACTGTTATCCGACTGTAATTAGAGTCTTTTTACTTACTGTCGGACAATGATAATAACGATGGAGATAAATTATTAATTATCTTGCTCCACAGTTCGGCGAATCTGCGACGATTTTCTCGCGAGTCAAACCTGTTGAGTTACAACAGGTAAACAGGGACAGTAGTTTTTATGTGAAACCAATTTGAGTACGTTTCGTTTTTAGTAATACGAGACGCAAAAAGGTCCTCGATTATCAGTAAGACTCCGGAATCTTTTATTTTGTTTCCGGTCTTTATCAAGCTTTGTTGCAGAGATCTACGAGAGTGTCGCAGCGGTTCGGCGTATTGCACATTAAAACTATTTTCACGTATAGAAAAAAAAAGATAATTAACTTCGGAATTTTTTGGCGCAAAACTATTTAACAAATGTGTAACTGATTGATTCGGAACATCGCAGCGATATGCTCGGCATCGACGTCCGTAATCTTGTAACATATATACTTTGTGTGCTTTATTATTATTATTATTATTATTGTACAAAATGTTTAAAATCTTCGATTTTCGATATTTGTCGTTTTTTTTTTTAGATCGCCCGCGTGATGAATTTTTTGTGTTTTCGTGCACGGGTCATAAGTTTATCGAGCACCGGCGTCTGTATGTGTATTTTGGACGTCCTGCTGCGAACGACAGCGTAATCTGATGGTCGGGAAATATAGGGGTTGCCAACCCCTCCAGTGCAACCATGTGTGACCGGGGAAAGCCTTCGGGAAAGCAACTCGAGTGAAACTCTGGTGCGCGAGCATGTGTGCGTGCGTGAGTGCACGCGCGCGTGTAATACGAAGCGAGTCGCGATAAAGGCCAGTCGTGTGAAGCTTTCGAGGGGATTAAAGTCTGTAATTACGGAGCAGCAGAGACGATTACCGAAATGATTTGTGTCGGTCCTAACGGCGCCGCAAACGGCCGTCGTAAAACTCCAAGCGCTCGATCGATGACACATCCCGCAGCTATGAGAAACGCACAGTTGCGTTTAATCGATCGCACGCATACGAAGGGCACGAATGACCTCGATCGAAGAGACAACATTGTTGTGAATTTTTACGCGGGGATTAAAAGACATAAAATTTACGCGCGTGAGAGAGAACGCGTCTCGGAGATAAACGCTCGAGAGAAATGTATGTAAAAAATATAATTCGAACATTTCTTTTTTTAACGAACAATTGATGAAGAATTCAAAAAAGGCGCTCAACAAGTTTTTAAAAATTTATCACACGTATATAAATAATACTGGCGTAATATACTATAAGTTCCATATTTAATATTCCAATTAATCATTTGTCCGTGCGAGTGATTGCTCGTCTGTCACGGTGTAAATACCGAGTGTTACAACCCGTTCGTGACTTGTCATCGGAGCAAGATCGATTGTCCAATTCTGCTCCGAGTTTTATATACACGGCGTCTGACAAGTTCGCGTCTCGTAATAGCGCCGGTTTGCCGAACGCGCCGTCGTATATTCCTCAGTCGTGCTCCGCGCGTCCAGCGAGCTGCACGCGAGGTGGATTATGCGCGCTTCTGTTCCGTGATTACAGACACGACAAATCCGCGCGTGTCCCATTCGTAAAAAAAAAACAAAAAAAAAAAAAAACAAACAAGTGACTTTTCGCTTCACTGAATTCCGCGCGATTTCACATTTCGCCCGTTTCATGGAACATCGATCCAGAGCGTCGTTGGATTAAACGCAGGAGGGAAACGACGTAACGTGAGTCGCGCTCATCAATTACATCTGTACTGTGCGTTTAATTAACTTCAATTTGCGAACACGCAGCCTCTTCAACTAAAATTGAACATTTTCAAGCCAAAACGTTTTGGATTGCACAAAGTATTGTTTTTTTTATTTTCGCAATAACATCCAGTATTTTGGTTTTAAAACACCTGGAGAAATCTTTCTCTCGTGTCTTTTTAAAGTAAAAAATCGAATCGTTTCTGATTATTGTTTTTATTATTTTTGCGACAATACATTACGTCGGAGCAAAAAATAAGATTTTTTGCAACTCTCTCTCGCAACGAGAATATCTTCATACAAAAGGATTTATTCATTAATACGGATGTGTTCGATAACACGACACACACTCTCACAAAGAAACTTGTACTCTGCCGCGCATAATCGTCGTTTCGCGATCGTTTCGTGCTTCTTCCGCGAGCGCGCATCAATTTGCGAGTGTTTACATCGGGGCGATGTCAGGGCGCGCCGTAATCACACGGCCACGGTGAATATGAATTATGCATCCTTGCGCGGGGTAGTTTCGAATTTCTTCCTGAAATGCTTTCCCGAGCCGCGGTCCGCTCTCGGAAGATCGTTAATATTAATTTTGGACGACGCGCGCGCTACACCCGCTAAATTAGTACAAATTGCAGCATCATGCGGTGAGACGACAACTAAGCTAGTCAATTAAACCGCATCATCTTGCCGTTGGGAGACCGTTTGGTTCCACAGACCATCAAGAGGTCTGTTTCGTCACGCGTCAAGCGTTCGAATCAAGCGTTTATTTTATGAATTTTATTAAAAAAACAAAAAAAAAAACAAATACAAAACAACAACACACGGAGAGGTGAAAAGTTTTTTTTTTTTATCGCGAGAAAGAGTCGGGCAGATTTTTTGCGCGCGATAAGCAGTTCGATTTTCCCGTCGCTCAGTGAAATGAGATGCTTGCCCCATGGGCAAGAATGTCTCAGGTCGCTGCAATAGTGCACTCTGTTTATGCAAGAATGTCTGACAAGTAGTTGAGCATAGAAGAGGAGGGAGAAGTATCTTACATAATAGAGAATTGAAGATAATCACGTCGCTTCGAACAAAAATAACGAGATAATTTCGCTTTATCAAAACGTTCGGAAACGAAATAAGTTTGTGAGCGAGCAGATCTCCGCGTTGAGAAATCTTTGCGGAGAGTTTGAGAGAGGATCGCGCGCGCGATTCTCCAGATTTTCTCTTCGTTTCGCTTTTGGCCGTGAGAGCAGGGGGCGGTAAAGCGCGAGAGAGCAAAGTGGATCTTTCGGGATCAAATCGCGTTTCCAGATGCTGCCGCGCTCGGTGCAGCCGGTCGACCGCTTGTTACAGCCGCGCTCACTTGTAAATTCAACTTATTCTTCTTTTTTTCCCGACGCGGAAGGGAGCTCGCTCGCTCGCTCGCTCGCTCGTTCGTTCGCTTCTTCTTCTTCTTCTTTTTCTTTTTTCCATGTGAAAGGAATGCGGACGACTCGTGTCTGAAAAACGACTCGATGAACAAAAGGGATTTCCCGTTTTGCTATGAGGGGTCTTCTGGGCCTTTTCTTTTCGACTCGCAAGTAGGTCACAGCTGATACGCACGAAACCAAGTGGCAAAAAGATAAGTGGCAAGGAAAGCACTTGAGGTAAAATAGAAAAATAGGAGACCGCGAGAGCATTGTGCTTCTTTGCGTTTCAATCTCTTCGAGAGAAATTCTGATGCGAGACTGTTAAACAAATAATTGATTGCGAAATCTTTAAATCATTTTACGGTAAATTCGCGCGAAAAGTAAAATTTTCACTTCGAACTTCTAAAAAATCTCATCTTTTAAAACTTCGACATCGTTCCCTAATAATGAGGGAACGATGTCGAAGCGTTCATACGATTTTTAATTAATTTCATGTATCATCGATTTTGCATCTTTTATACTGCTCCGGAAGCGTAATTTTAAACAAAGTTATAGAGAAGTTTTTTTAAGTTTTTTTGTTGAAATCTTTTTTTTTACTCCACTTCGCGATTAATATCGTCGAAGTTGCGCGACGTAAATTCCCAGCAACAGTCGTCGCACTCGAGTTATCGAAAAGTCACAAGTTTCACACTCTTTCTCCTTCTTGGGGGAGTGCTCTTTCTTTCTCACAGGAACAACATGTCACGCATGGACGCGCATTTTATTTAAAACGACGTCCGCGAAATGGCAATTAAAATGCGCCGCGTGTCATTTCACGCAAAATGCGCGCGAGCAGACCGAGCGCGCGCGAGCAGAAGAATAAATAAATCGAGAGGAAGCGACACGGCTTTGCCAATCGAATATCGCTACTTTCACGAGTGGTGCGCACGGTTAAAAGCGTGTTTCGATACGTGTGCGACACAAACATACGTGAAAAAATAAATAACCATTTCCAGAACAAAGGAACTGTACACGTAACTCTACGTGTCTTCCCTGTGTAACATATACAAAAAAAAAGAACATGCTTAAAATATTACAGTGTAACTTTTCTCTGCAAAATACAATACAATTGCGCTTTTTAATTCGCTAGAACTCGAACGGTTTCACGAAACCGACGTATCCCGAGTGTGATCTCATTGCGCGTGTCTGTTCTCGTCGCGAATTTCTCTCTATCTCTCTCTCTCTCATCGCAATCAAGTCGAACGGAAGTGTTGGTAACCCACAAAGGGAGACGAGAGATCGCGCTCTCGGACCGTTTTACATTCCGTGGGTGTTTTCTCGCCTCTTTCCCCCCTCGCATCGGCGTAACTCTTTTGCTCTCTCCTCGTCCACCCACTCTCTCTTTCTCTCTTTCTCTCTCTCTCTCTCTCTCTCTCGGTCGCTCTCTTCTGTCTACTCTATTGCTGCTATCTCCTCCTGTCTTCCTGGGGCCGTCTCCGCTCACGAAGACCGTGGGCATAGCCAGTCGCTGTGTCATCGAGGCCCGATATATCATAAATATAAATTGACTTGGGCGCTCGCGCGTGTGCGCGCATAAACGAAGCTTGGCCGGTGTGCGCGGTGCGTGCTCCCAGCGACGCGCGCGAAGGGAATGTTAATGCTTGACCGGCAGCGATGTGCTCGCCAAAAATGATAAACGCATCGCACCGACAAGTTTCGCATTAACACGCCCTTCCGTGCGCGCGCATAAACACGAGAATTTAGAATCGAACGGCGCGAGAGAGCTCAGCCCCCGCGAAGTCAAACGCAATTTGCAGCGAGAAACCGGTCTCTATCTTTCTCTCTTTCTCTCTCTCTTTCCGTGTATACCGATGATAATTCATCAGCGGTTTAAAAAGAATTCATTTGTTTTCGTACGGAAGAGAACAATAGGTATTTAGTGTGGCGCGATATCGAGAGTGTTATCTGATAGACGCGCCGCCGGGAAAGAGATAGAATCTGTGAATTCATTATCCGAATGAATAGTAGAAATTTATATTCACTTAATTTTTTGCCAAATCATCTAAAAGGGATCTGAAGTCCTTAAAATTTTATCTCGCTTATATGCGCGGTCGCGAGATTAGCAGTGTCATCGTTCTAAATGGATCGAAATAACGAGATTGTAAAGTGAGAAAGCGCGCGCGCGAGATTAATGAAAATGTCGATTTCGCGCGGATCAGCAGCCGTGTGTTCGTGGAATCGCTCGTCGCGCGGTTTCCTCGTTTCTCTCTCTTTTTTTTTTTTTATTGTTGCTGTTCCGCGGAGAACACGCGTCCGTTTTATTTTGTAAACGCAGAAAGTGCGAGAAAGCGCGCGGCCGCACGAAGCAAGGGATGGTATAATCGTGCTGGCCTTGCGATCGCCTTCGGCGATTAGTCCGCGCGCTCGCAGAAATATATGCACGCACAGATGCGGGCGGCGAGTGTGCAACTTCCTGAGATAAGCTCGTTAGCGCGCGGCGTTTGTTGCGCGCGCCGCGAACTCGCGTCCGGATATTCGACGATAAAACGTTGACGGGTCGTTTTCAGCGCGCGTCCAATCTAAATATCACACGCGCGCCACTCGGTGATCGAAAAGTCTCGAGAAGATTCGATTGGCATACACACCGCGCGTAACGAAGAATCCATCTCGGGAGAGGTATTCCGAGTTTTTGATTTCTCTTCGTAACTAAAAACTTGCCAATGTCCGTGCGTTTGTTTTGGATGATTTTTTTTTTGTTAAAGATTGTGTTGTCGTTAGACTGGACTTGGTTGTATCTCTAGTCGAACAGAAATTGTATAAAATTATTCAAATTAAATTGCGTTTATTTGCAAAAACAAGACGAGCGCGAGGTTTATTATGATAATCGAGGACGCCGTAATCGGATGAAGATTCTCTTCAAACGATTTGCACGCGGGACTTAAGAGACCAATCGACGACGACGACGACGACGACGACAACGGTTTATCTTAATAGTCGGGTCTTCGATGCGCCGGAGCCGGCGAGATCACCGTTAGACCTTAAGGTCGTTGTCGTCGTTCCTTAATTATCCCGTCGGTCGTTACGCTAGAATCGCGGCGCGACTCGCATCGCTGTTATCACGCGGCACGGTACGCCCATAAATAACGTTCCACCGCGATCGCGCTCGGGAGTAATTCCTCGCCGCGCGCATCATGCCTCTTTGTCGATCGCGTTGATCATGCCTCGATATATCCAGCGATTATATGTTAGAGAGAGAACGGAGAATTATTTTAATTCTCGCGTAGAACGCGGACGCGTCGCGTTCCATATACGTCGGACATATCGAACGTTTAAAATTTTTCGACAGTTCGAGTATTATCGTTATCAGAGTTCTATAAAAACAATTTCGTACACATATGTAATTATTGTTATTTATATTAAAACTCTATTTGCTATTATTATAGTTTGTCTAATTGTATATAGTTTATATTTTTTATATTTAGATTTTTGTATATTTTATAATTTTTCTTTCAACATGTTATATCGAGCCCGGTAATTAACTGGAACGCATTTAGAGACCACTTATTTTGATTACACGCGATGTGCGTGCTCATATATATATTGCATATGACTCAACGCAGTGTTCGTGGAACAATTACATATATATATATATATATCTCACCGTGATTTTCTCGACCGAGGCAGATCGGTCGCACGCTCGGCGCGGTTTAGAATCGCGCTCGAAAAAAAAGAAAAAAAAAAGAAAAAGATTGCACGGCTCTCGGAATCGCGATAAATCACTACGGTTGAAAATCGATGGTGGGTGAGCGCGAGAAGAAGCCAGGACGAGAGAAAAGAGGCGCGGTGATGGAATTCTCTCTCTTTCCTCGCAAACTGGATTCCGCGAAGGAGGCAGGCGAGGAGGATCGGAGGAACGAAAACAAGAGAGACGCGAGAGATGCAGCAACACACAGAGAGCACCTGTCCAACAGCTGTCTCGCATATGGCGCTGTTATGTAAGGGGAGTAGGTGTGTTTCGTTTTTCAGACTCGAGGATCGCCAAGAGAGGGCTTTCAAAATAATTAAGACGAGACAAGAGACCCGTGGTCGCATTAATCCTTTCGTCGGAAGATTATTTAGAGGATTGTTCTTCCAGAACGAAAGCGCGAGTGTTGGTTTTTTTTGTCTTCGAGAAAAAATATACGAGAGAACACGATATTCTCTCTTCTCCCCATTCCGTCTTCGTATTATCTCCGTAACGAAGAGACGAATTATAATTCCGTCCCGTGTGAAGTGGAAAGAGAGTTACGGCAATTTTTTTTTTTTTTTTTTTCGGTGACCCTATTGTGATCGACCCTTCCCGGGTGGCATTTGAATTTCTTATTTAGCTCACGCATCTTCGCGGAATGCGGCATCCTCCCGCTTTTTTCTCCGGCGCAGACGCTCCGACCATTAGTCATCCGCCAATGGGTCCTCTGTCCGTTTACTCGCGGTCGAAAAGGCGTAAGTCAGCGGAGAACGCTAATATGTATTCCGCTCGTGAATCCAAATTCGCGCGTCTGCGGCCGGCGCGAATCCGTACCGCAACCATAAATCTGTTCCGCGACCGCAAAAACATATTCGCAAATGATGAAAAATAGATACACAGTATATGTTCTACGTTCGACTGACTGACTTCTTCTCTCTATTTTTTATCACGCTCAGAAAATAACTAAAAAAACCATAAAACTTCATACTTGTGAACGCAACGAAATATTTCGCTTGAAAAAATCGAAATATTGCGATTAAAACATTCGATCGGTGAATGCGAGCGGAAATGTTGATCGCGCGGAAACAAATGAGACAATAACGAGCTAGAAAAAAAAAAAAAAAAAAAAAGAATTCGCGCGCTCTTCGAGGTCTCGATGGGAGTTCGGCGATTAATTTTCACGACGCGGAGAGACTCGCGCACACGCTCCGAGCTCTCAACACGCAGAAAAGAACCGCGCGCGGATCTCCATATTAAGAGAGAGGGCGTGGCTACGTGTAACAATGAAGCGAGTCGATTAAAATAAAAAGGAGAAACGCGCGCACACAGCTGTCCATCCCGCAGCCTGTCCTGTGCGCGACGGCGCCGCGTTTATCTTCCCCGTCCGCTCGAATCCTATAGATCGTCAAGTCGAGCACGGCTCATTAATTCCCGATCATGCGCGAGGGGAGACAGACCACCGTGGGACGTCGAAACACAACAAAGAGCTAAACGCGACGGAAAATTGTTTAAGCAAAAGTGATAATTCGACGACGACGACGGTCACACGCCCGGCAGCTGATTGATTATTCGTTAATTAACGCATGCGGGATGATAAGATACGTCGTTTACTTTTTGTCCTCGTGTTATCCGCGAGAGGGAAGTGATTTATCGTCGCGGTGTAAGTGAACTCGTTTCGCGAACTGTCACGGTTTAAACAAATGAGAAGTAAAGTCGAGTAAACCCGGTTTTGAAAACAAAAAACCCCGGATTCTTCCTTTATATTTCACGTCTATCAGCGCGTCGCTCTTGAGGGAGATTCATTTATGTCTGAGAACCGCGGAGTTCTGTGAGACGGAACAAATATAAACAGCGATTTAGAGGATGATCCTAAGTAAATACGCGCGAAGCGGATGACGAGATAAGTGACGGGAATGAGAGTGACAACCGCGACAACTCTCGCGCGACGACGGAATCTCCCCGACTTCGTATCTAATGATCGTGATGATGATGAAGTGATTTCTTACGATTACTTTCTCTCTGTATTTTTCGAAAATCAATGTACACACGCACATCGCCATTGGAAATTTTCGCTCCTCCAGATTTGTTTGACGTGTGTTCGAAATAAAATCGGAGATTAGCGAAAATGTTTCCACGTTTGACGGGTTTTTTTTCGATTCGCCGCGGTGAGATAAAAAAACAAATGAGGGGCGTTTAGCTGGCGATAAAAAGGGCGCGGCAATTAAGTTCACAGATCTCTGAAGAGATCTCCGAAAATCTCGAGAGGCGAGAGAGAGAGAGAGAGAGAGAGAGAGTGAGAGAGGTTTCGAGCAAGCACGGTTACGGGTGTTTACCCGTAAGAAAAGACGCCGCCCCCACACAACAAACACGTCGGGAAGAGAGAAGTTAAAACGAATGATGTGATTTGTTTTCTCAGCGCTCTCGTGTTTCTTCTCTCTCGTTGGGAGAGAAAAAATTTATCTCGAAGTGTTAAAAATTTATCGTAATTTAACAATATCACAGAATGAACGTCTACAAAAAATTCATTGTTGAATGTTGAAACCTGAATTTACAATTAGAAATATAAATTAATTTGTTAATTAATTTATAAAGAAGAAACTCGCGAGACTTGAGAGATATATCTCGCCTTTGGGAATTAACGCGCGTCTTTGTCCGCTTTGACCGAGATTTGGCCTCGGTCTAATGAGCGAGTTTTGCGAGGAATCCGAATAAATGCCTTTCATATGTATTTCGGGGAAATATAACGTGCGCGCCGCGTGTTATTCGAGGCCTCTTCACGCGGCATTAAAAGCGAGACCGTGACGGCGAGTCCGAAACATATAGGGGGATTACACACAGATCTCGGGTTACGGCACAAACCCGAGACTTTTTATTCTGATTTCACGGAAATCGTGAAAGGGCACGGGAGACCCCTCGCCGGGCGCGCAGTAATCATTCGATCCTCGGATCTAACTCTCGCGGCCGCACCGCGGAGAGAGCGACTTCGACACGAAAAAGACACCTGTAGGACTGTTTCGTGATCACCTCCGGAAACCAGAGAGAATTTCGTAGTCCCAGAGTTGATTTTCCTTCGAGAAACAACCGATCGGCAAACGTGTTGTGACAACAATGACTGAAACCGATTCCAATTGTTGTGTATTTTCAGGTATCGAGAGGCTCGAAGGATGACATAGTATGAAAAAACAAAAATCAATCGGCAGCATGTGCTATGTGATAATCACCGGGCGCAGTTTGCTTTGGACGCTCTTGTCTCTGGCGGCGTTGATGGCGGTTTTATCGGGCCTCATCACTCCGAGATGGCTCGTAGGACCACCGACGATTAAGGACACGAGTAAATATTTTCTTTTCCACCTTGGGCGTTATTCGGAATTCCCGTTGCACGCGCTCGCGGTAACGGTAAATAACGCGATAACGTCGAAGATTGTCAAATAATTCTCTTCTTCTCCTCTCCATGATTCTCAACGCGGCGGCGACTTAAATTCGAATGGTATATATATTTACGCTTCCTCGATCGTGTATCTTCGTTTTTGTTTTGGAATTTCAGAGAACGGCACGGAACTGTACACGCCGACCGTCGGGATCTTCAATCGTTGCACGCGACTGTTTGGAAGAACGCACTGCGCGAACTTCAACGTCGACGGCTTCGCGACGGATCCCAACGTGTTTCCGGGATGCTGGAAGGCGTCGTTGTTTTTCCTGTCCGCGGGACTAGCGACGATGTCGGTGACCGTAATAGCCGCGCTGCTCGGGTGCTGCGTGCAGAGCATCGGCCGTAAAAGCATCTTCAATCTGGCGGGAGTGGCGCAAGCTGTTGCCGGTAATGTTGCTCCTCGAAAGCGGAAGATCGAAGTGATGAGAGTTGACGAGATGACGAAACTCCGTGCTTAAGCCTCTTAGCTCGCGAGGGAAAGGGAGATAATCCCTCGAGTGATAGATGATACTTTTACACGCATATATTTTCTTCTAATACAAGAAAAAAAACTTTCTCTCTCTCTCTCTCTCTCTCTCTCTCTCGGACAATTTATTTTCCATAAAGAAGACAAGACAGACAATTTACAAATTACGTGGCGCAATAAAAAAATGATAAATTAAAAACTGCTAAATTGTTATAGCATTGTTTTATTGTTTGCAACGTACGCGTGAAGCTCGTTAATTTTGTTTTCGAAGAAGAGAGAGAACCGCGACGATAAAAGTAACGCAAACTGTAGAAGGCAACGAACGACCGTCCCGGCCGGATATTCCGTGTGCGTAACGTGCTTTCAGCCTAACAATGGCATCTCAAGTGCGAGTGGCGCAACGTCTATTGTGGGCATTGTGGCGAAAGGTCTATAATGGTCCGGAATAATCAACGAGCGTGTGCGAGCCTTAAAAAGCTAAATCTTTCCGTCGCGATTCTAATGAATTGGACAGCGTGAAAAATCACGTTTTCACTGGTCGTTCTCACGCGTCTTTGTTCGCGTGTTCTGATTTTGAATATTTGTTTGTTTTCTTTTTATTCACAGGCATACTGTATCTCTTCGGGATGATTCTGTATCCCGCTGGTTGGGGCGCCGAGAGAGTGCAGAGAATCTGCGGTCCCGAGGCCGACGCTTTCTATCTCGCCAACTGCAACCTTGGTAAAATAGAAAAAAAAAAAAAAAACTGCGTACTTTATGTTAAAAATAAAAATTCGATCGTGTAAATTCCACACTGCTGAAATCACACAAGTTCATTTTTTCGAAATAAAAAACTTCGAAACGAAGATTTTATAATTTAAGATCGAGATACACGAAAGAGTTAATTTTCTTTTTTTTTTTTTTTTTTTCAGGCTGGGCGTTTTATAGCGCGGCGATCGGCGTCGCTCTCACTTTCGTCTGCGCCGCTTTTAGCGGACAGGCGGAGAAGTCGACGGCCAGCGACAAGGTCCAGGACAAAATGAACGAAGGAAAGACCCTAATATGCTTAGCCTGAGCGCGCAAATAAAATCAGCGAGGGGTCTCTCTCGCTCCGTGTCGACGGGTGTCTCGGCACGGATACGCGTCGCGAAAAGGAATGTGCGAAGAAAACAGACGGAACTAGAAAAATGTCCACCCACGTTGTGTTCACTTAACAGAATAAAAATCGAAGACAAACTCGCACTCGACTTGAATAATCAATCGCGGGACCAGAAAGAGAGAGGACAGAGAGAGAGAGAGAGAGGAAGAGAGAGCTGAATATTTACAGAGATTATTAAACGCATTTTCTCAGTACACGAGAGGATGAAGCATCGAACGTACTTACCGTCTTCCCACATTTACTGTCGCGAATTCATACATATATACATACATACATATGTATATATACATATATATATATATATATATACGTACACGTCTGCGACGCGTTTGCAGAAATCCTATTTTATATTTTACACACTTTGTTTTCACATATACAATTAAAGAAATGTATAAAATAAAGCCACTGTGGATATTACTATAGTGTTTGTTTGTGAATGTGAATGAAATAAATATATATACTTATCGCAACGAATATATTTACGACAATTTTTCTCTGCGAGGTCGCGTTACTGTCCGCGCTACACCAAATCAGAGAAACGAATTTGATTGATAAATAAATGGAATTTATTTCATTTTTCATTCTTATATTTGTATCAACAGATTTGTTGAAATTCGATCGAATGCATAATTTAAATATATAGATATTACAAGTGTACACAATGTGTGTGCTGGCTGTCAGTCGATTGTACATACATACGTATAAATAATGAAGGCACCAAGAGAATTAACCATCAATAAATTATATGAGCGAATTTTTATACACAAATTCCGAAACACAATCGGTAATAATAATAATAATAATAATAATTAAAAAAAAAAAAAAAAAAAAGAACGTAACGGGCGTGAGTAATGAGAAAAATCACGATTATACATATAATTAACAATAATGTGTATACGTGTGATCGTGTACTTAAGAGTAATGAGTGTTATTTGGTTGATGACTTGCCGTTAGAACCGCTGACCATCGATCGGATACTAAAGAGAGTAACGCTAGAGTTGTAAACTTACGCGAAAAAAAAAACAAAAAAAAAGAAAAAGAGATTAGCAATGCTGTGACGAGAAACGATTTCTTATCGCGGGAATGTTGAACTTCGACGGATGTGTGAATTAACTTGACGTCGAATTCGTAAACGCGTCGCGACCATCGAGATATTATGCGGTGTCAACGCACTTGTGTGTTACGCGTCCGCACTCGATATATCTCTCTTTTTCCCCCACAAGCATATCGAATTGTACGCAACATTTGACGATTAGAACGCGAATCGTCACTCTTGCGAGTAAAAATAAAACACAAAATATCAACCATCGGATACTTCCGAGGCTTGTTCGAATCTTTTGCGCGAAGAAACGTACCGAAGAGAGCGAAATTAATTAAATTTAGCGCGTCTCGCGTTTTGTGCGAAACACGCTAAGCTTGTTTGTAATTACGCGCAGTTGTTGTTCAACAACTGCGCGTAATTACAACAAAATACGACTCGAATAAAATAACGATGTTCATCGCAGTGTGTGTTCGCGTGTGTGTATGTATGTGTGAGAGACGTAGCGATAAGAATAATAAGAATAATAGGAATCTTTTTACTCTCACCTGTGTATCTCTCGACGAGGAGGGAAATTGTATCGACATATCCGATAAAAAAAAGCTATTAGGCAAACACTCGGCATAGATTCGGCCTTGTGCAGAGATATTGAATAATTCATTAACTCTATTTACATACGTAAGCTAAAATATAACGAACTACTTGTCTAGGTTAAGGAAAATCGCGAGAAAATTGCGAGAATGATCAAATGATCTTCGAAACTACCGGTAATGATGCCATTAGTAGCGCGATAAAAAAATCACTATATATACATACATATATATATATATATGTATATATATATCAAAATCATTACGCAAGTATATTACAGTTGTTAAATATTGTTGATATTCTTTTCTATCCTTAACCTGGACACACATTTTCAAACGGCGACTATTTTCAATAGAATTGAAATGCTCCCGAAAGAACGTTCCGCAGTCACCTATAATATTCTTTCCCGCATGATTGCAATCACTTGCATAAATTAATAATATTCATCAATTTGAAAAAATGCTCTATAATAGATATATATATATATATATAATATAATATATATATATATAATATTTATGTACCCCTAACGATACTTCTTTACAAAATATCTTTTACGGACGAAAAGCGACACGTCGTCGTAATGCAATTATTGCGTTAATTCTTATAGTGTATAACATGCACTCGACGAAACTCGATTAAAAAATCAAAAAAAGAAAATGAGAGAGACTCCCGCGAAACGTAAACTACTGCCCGTTCTCGCCAACTCGTATATCTTCTTCGTTTTTTATCTGTAGTAATATTAAATTTTTTTCAGCAACTTTAACACACACATATACCACATACCTTTGTTTTAATACTTTCTCGTTCTTCGCTGCGTATAAGTCGCGAACGATTCGTATAGACACGAGATATCGTGAATAATAGTTGTAACAAGCGGATTTTTGTTGAAGCTTGATTGAAAATGATCGACTTCGACAGCTCGTTTTCGATCTTTCGAGCCTATATATTTATCTATATATATATATATATATATTTTTTTTTTATATTTTATTTTTGTCAGCAACTCCGATGCTAATTGACCGTATCGCTCATTCAACGCGCAACGGTTTGTTGTTGTTACGTCTCGGGAGCGAAGATCTCAACAGAGTTGTCGACCTTCTGCGCATTGGAGCGCATCGCTCGTCTCCGCTCCTCAATCATCTGTCGTCGCGCCTGTTCCCTCGCCTCGCGCGCCTTTTTGTTCGCCTCACTGTTCGTGGTCGGTTTCGCTTTGTGAACTGATATAACTCGACGTTTACCGTTCTGTTGCGAAGTCGACGCGGCTTTCTTATCCGGCACGACCTGCAAGCATCATTAATTGTTAACGATATAATCGCGAAAGAATCAAATTTGTATTAACGCGGAAAATCCGAAATAAAGACCGATTCGTCGGTTAATTATTTGAGAGAACGTACCTCTTGCCATTGAGACTTTCTCAGCTTTTCTATCTGATCGAAGAGTTCGTTTACTTGTACGACCTGCAGCATCACCATGTCCCAGAAACCGGCCAGGTCCTCATTTGTCGTCGGAAATTCCTCACCTGGTACCTGATTCTGGAATAAAGATTAGCACACCGGTAATAAAAATATCTCTCGTGGTTTGATAATACAAGTAGAACACGTGTAGAGAGATTATTTCTTACGATGTTCTTCTGACACAATCCTTCGAACTGCTGCATTTTCTGCGAAGTTAACAGTCTGGCTTTTCCCGCGGCTGATCTCAATTTACCAGCCGCTTCTTCTGGCAGTGCAACGGTGTCGCCGCTGGCTAATTCGGCTTCCGCAGACGCGGCCAATGAGAGCAGTCTGTCCGTTTCTTGTTTCAACAACTGAAAACAAAACACATTTCTATAAATTTTTATTCGCCAAAGACATATCTGCATCGTGTGCAAATATATATATATATATATATATATAACATTTTTTCTCCAATCACCTTCATAAAGTAATGGCCGTCTTTCTCTTCCACCTGTTCCGCTTCTTGAGCTTGTTTCAGTATGTTTGTTGAACTAGCGCTAGGTTCCAGCACGGGTAACACCACTTTCGGCGCAGCTGGCTGCTGATCGGGCATACTTTTGCTATTAGCCTCGCGCTTTGGTACGTCGTCTTCTACGGTGATGGGAATTATTCTCGTTACGCTACTTTTTGAATTCGTAGTTGCGGGGGTCTTTTGCTCAGTCTTCTGTGTCACCGGTATTATCCTGAAAATGCAAAATATAAATCTTGTCATCAAAACAAAAACAGCTTTAACCTTCAAACTCGTAAACAATCAATAGACGCCTCACCTTTGTAGAGGCTTTAGTATTTGTTCGGAACCGTCCGTGGGTTTTCTACTACTGACTACGGGCAGCTGTGCTCGAAATTCCGGGCGCAGATGTCGAAGAACAGGCAGATTTTTCAACGACTCTTCGATATTCGCGTTGTCTTGCGAGATTACATTAGTTTTACTGGATTTATTCTCACTAGTGCTAAGCTTGGTGATGCGTTTGAAAAAGAAGCCTTGCGCCAGAGCCCCCGGGCCGTAGAGCCGCTCGACTCGTTGCTGAATAAAGGATTTCTCGCTGCTCGACGAGGTGTTCAATATCTGACTTTCCACCTCCATCGACGACGATCCGTTCAAAATACTGTTATCACTAAATGATGTACTTGAAACTGCAAGGAAGCAAAACAAAAATTTCGAAACGTTTGATTTACAGATTTAAACGTAACAACAAAATTAAAGTTTGTTTTTGACAGTAAAAGAGGAACGTTTCTTACCTTGTTTCGGAGAAGAGAAACTCGAACCGAATGACTTGTTCTGTTGACCGCAGGACATTATCGGCGAGAGCCCGGGGCTGAGTTTGTTAGGAGGGCTTATCCTGATGGGGCTGAGATCGGGAAACGTCGTTTGCAACGGCACTCCCTTATCAACTTCCGAATAGCCCTGGTGACACATGCTAATCGAGCTTCTGTTCCCCACGTACGTCTCGACTTTGCACTCGTCCTTCATGCCGTTCGTGAACCCGTTCTGCCTGTCCATCGCTAGAGGCGATATCGACTGACTCTTAGGCGGATGATGAGATGTCGGAACGATGAGATTCTCGTTGGATCTGCGATTGTGAATAGTTTGTTGCAAACAAAACCGCACGTTTTCCGAAACAAAAAAAAAAAAAAAAAGAGTAAGATCATCAAGATTGTCTCACCGGAAACCTGCAGGACTCGTGTCCCTCGTGATCAGACGCGTGCCCGGACTGCTGTCTCTCGAACGGAATCCTTCCCTCAGTTTGCTGTCGTATCTAGTGATGCCCGAGTAGCCGCTTATGCTACACGCCAATCCCAGATAACTAGGCTTCTTTGCTGCCGTCAGCTGTTCTGGCTCCGGACTGACGCGATAAGCATTGCTGACGTTCAGCGTTTTCTCATCGGGGGTGAGGTGCGACTTCTGCAACGTCTCGTTGCTGCCGTTCGCCAAGTTCTCGGGTGACGACACCGGTTCGCCGTTGCACGACAGATTCAGACTGTGCAATGTCTTTTCGGATATTGAGTCCACGGTGTTCTCTGAAAGAGGAAATTTCAATTTAGACGATTGTAGACGATCTCTCGGACTGAATCGTCAAGCCCAATTTCACACAATTGTAGACGCTACGTCACGATAAAACGCGCAAGATCGTGTCGCGCGCGCGCGCGCGCGTGAGAATTTTGTTCGAATTATTTCAAACAGCAACAAAAAAAGTAGAAACTGCCGCTCTGTTGCAACACGACGGCGAAATTGTAGAGAGAGAAATATATATTTCAGTTGCACACAACTAAATACTCCAACTAACTGTTTTGGTCGCGCATGCAGATTTATACGCGATTCTGACTCACACGTTTCGTACGTTCCGATTGAAACCTACGAGTGTATGTACATACGACTGACGAGACATTCACCTTCGAAAAGCGCTCCCGCCCACGCACTTCACACACGCCAGCTCATGTTAAACGAATCTTATTCACATCGTTGTTCAACACGACCTTATTTTCTACGAGAGAATTAATGGAACGGTTCCAAGCTCGCTTGTTCGTCGAAACAAACGAACTTTCGAGCTTAGTCACACTTCTGAATCACGATCGATCGCAGCAAGTAATGAGATTTCTCTACGCGGAATCCGAGATGAGGAACGATCCGTCGCGCTCGTCGCAGCGACGGATTCTGGAACACTGAGCCGCCTCTCAGAGACTCTCTTCAGAGATTCGTCCGCGCCTTCTTGGCAACGGCGAAGAAAAGAAACGTTGCACTTGGTGCCGCTCGCTTACGGTCTAAATTCGATCGGCATTTTCGAGCGGATAAAAAGCGTCCGCGACCTGCGAGAAGGAATTAGACGGCGAAGAGGAATTGGCAACCGAGGCAACCTTGAAATTTCGACATGAAAATACATTTCGATCGAAGATCCGAAAAAAAAAAAAAAGAATCACGAAAGATTCGCTCCCGATTGCGAAATTTCTAATCATTTGTCAGCGAAAAACTCTTTTTAAGCGAATAAGAAACGAATTAAATAAACAATCATATAAAAAGTGTTTCGATGCTTGGCTAATTTTGTGTTGTCGCGGACGTGTCGTATCGTACGTACGGCTTTTCATTCATTAAAAAAGTTATCTTCGATGATAATTGAAACTGGGTCTGAGAGGATCAGTTTTTAGAAGACGATCCCGTGTTCGTTCAAGCGCATTTCAACGTTTTTCTACGAAATGATTCGCTCGAGCGAGAAAATCGTTCCGTAGAAAAAAATTGAAATGCGTTCGGATCTTCTCGACGCGTCTAATCATTTCTTCGGCCGAGTTCTCGCAGGGAATTCTCTGCAAAAACGATTCCTGAAAGCCAACGTTTTTTCTGTCATTGTAACAAAATCAGGTATCAGAAGAAATCTTTCTAGATATTGTATCCAAAAGTCAATAGTCTAGACGCACAATCTAAGAAATTTGTTAATATCACAATTATATAAAAAAACAAAAAACTAATGTAAGGGTGTGTGTTAACAAATTGTTTTCTTTTGTTTAAATAACACAACGATTTTGTCGAGTGTTCATCGGTTAAATTTCTTAACGTGTTATCTAGCGATCGGGTGTGTCTCTCAATAGCCAACCTGATCGGTCGGACGCGGAGCGGTCGATGTCCAGACTGCAGCTGCCGATGCTCTCCTGGCTAGTCATGTTGGGATGATACCTGGCGCCGATCGCCGCGCCGGCTGATTTGTGATCCGGGTCCAGACGGTGGTAGTTGAGAGGCTGCACGGCTAGCGAGAGCGGTCTAGCGCGTCGGTGCGAGCGGATACCGCCGGCTCCAGGTACCGACGACGTCACCGTCGCCGCGCAGGAGTCGTCGACGTCGTCCAGACCCGCCACCTCGCCACCCCCGCGCGAGGACTGTCCGCTCGCCCGCCGATCCTCGTCCACGCGGTCCTCGTGCACACTGCACAAGACCGGGTCCTTTCTCATCCCGTTGTTCTGTCACGCGTGCGTCAACGCATCCTCGAGCTCGGTACACGGTTACATTCGTACGCACGTGTACGTATATTCTCACTAGCGTGCGATATTTTAAACGCGTGGACAGTTTTATATTTTGTTTTTGTTGCCTTTTTCGAAAAGTGCCGAGTTATCAGAAGTTTTTCAACTGTGGTCGATTAAAAACAAATGAGTAAATTTTTATGAGATTTTAATTTGTCAATCGAGGCATTTAATATCGTCGCATTTTGATCTTCGCGTGTGTTATTCAACTTGGAAAAATTTGGAAAACCCGAGAAAATTAAACAACTCAGAGAAGAACGATCTCGATTGATAATGAGACGTTTTTTTCTTACGGTTATCTTCCCGAGACTTTCCGGACGGAGCGAATGTCGCGTAGCCTCGAGAAGCGACACGAGAAAGCGGCACGGATTATAGCGCGATAAACCGTTGCAACTTCTTTTTGTTTTCAGTAACTGATAAATAAACGCGTCCGCGATTGCTGTTTCTTTCGTTCGTTTGTAACCGACGGAGCTCGGAGAACGTTTTGCGAAAGGAAGCTGGGACCACTTTGCCACGTGAATTATCGATTTCTCGACGGAACCGATGTATTTCGCGCGTGTTAACATCGTTACAGCCGAATCTTATCGGAATTAATGCAAATGATGCAGGAATCTCGAGAACATTAAAAATAGATTTTACAACACAACACGCAGCAATGTCGCTCTCGGTCACGAGAGCTCTCGCATTCGCGAAGATTTCCCCCGAGAATTCTTTTCACGGCGCATTGAACGTCGGCGATGTGTTAACGAACTGCCGATACATGTTCCCCCTCTTGTAATTAACGATATCGACTTCGCGCACACAAGACTGCCGTAAGAGCGATTTTACGTACGTACGTACGTCTTCTCCGACACGGTGAAAACTCCGAGTGGAAAGTTGCGGCACAATAAGCGACCGGATTCATGACTTAACAGAGGGGAAACATCATATACGTTACGAGCGAGCAAATCTCATTAATTTCGCCGTGACTTTCGTATTTCTCTCTGCATGATCAAGACAATAATGAACAAGCCAGCGGTCTGTTTTTATTGCCGCGAGTCACGAAACCGTATTTTCCTCGCGCGCCGTCGCATTATGCACGAAATCGCCGCGTTACTTTTATTCCGTAAATAATTTTTTTATTTTTATTTTTTTATTTTTATTTTTATTTTCACGACGTCTCAAGGTAATAACTTCCAAAACAAAAAGATAATTGACAATCGTACACGCGCGGGGTTGAGAAAGAAAAATAATTTATTCGCTCTCGAGGAAGAAAGTTCATTTGTTTGCGAAGTGGTGCCAGCTTCCGATAATTGCCGCCAATTTTCTCTGGCGAGATAATGCGTGCAAATTATTTCGACACGCATATACAGAATCGTCGACGCACGGTGACGCCTGTGTTAATCATCACACACACACACACGCTAATCGTGCGTAATTCGGGCATAAGGGTCCATTCCGATTGCAGGCTCCATTCGCTTAGCTACACTTTTTTCTCTTTGTGATTTTTAAATAAAACAAAATGCGTATGTATTTACAGTGAAAAAAAAGAATAGAATAGAAACAACACACGAGAGAAGGTGTAGCTAAGAGGAACAAACCGTGTATATACGCAGTACACGAGTGAGCGCAATAAGCGGGGGTGCATCGCCAGACGAAGTGTCATGATCAAACTGCATGCAGTAAAAAAAAAAAAAAAAGACAGATTCGCTCTTACATCAGCGACTAAACTCGTGCGACTCCCGTGGTTTTCGACGTCTTTTGCAAAAAAAAAAACGTACGATATATTGACGCTCACGTCGCACGTTTACTCGTTCATGCAATCGCGACGACGAGTGTGTTCTGTAAAGTACACACACACACGCACACACACACACACACACACGGAAGTGGAGGGAATTCTTTCGATGAGATCGCACATTAAATACAAGATGTACAGCGACTCGGTTTTCAAACTGTTACACACGTACATTATCATATCCGATTTTAGAGTCACACGATTGACAATCGGATAATAAACATGTAAAATACGTACGTTATTATCGCACGAAGTACTTTCCCATACATCAGTTTGTTGCTTTACAAAAAAAAAATCTCTCGGGAAATAACATTAGAGAAAATTATGCGGCAGCGAGATAAATAAATTTTCGTCGACGTTTTTTTTTTTTTTACGACGCGTCGTTTCGCTCCGCCGGAAAAATTCCGTCGGATTCCATTCGCGCGCGTAATGTGTGCACAAAACCCGACGCTCATAAGAGATTGAAGAAACGAGTCGCGCCAAGTGAGTGCACGTATGGCGTGGTGAGTGTATTGTACAATATTTACGGTGCGGAAATCGACATAATTGCGAGAGTTAACGGTTAAGGTGCATCGTGCGGCCAAAGCAAACCCTAAAGGTGTGCACAAGGTGAACGAATCATGCTCGACGATCGCCGATGACGATAATCGATAATGATGATGATGATGATGGTGATGGTGATACGTAGAGTCTGTGTGTGATACGCGTGGACACGCTCGCTCATTGTACTTACGAACAACACTGGGTGTTGGAAAATGTCAGAGTGTTATTTTATGCGATTCCAGAGAGAATCCCGATGTAAGATGATGCTGACCTCGCAGATATTCGAACGGATCTCTCGTCTCTATTTCATCAATTTCGCTCGTCCGCAAATTCCATCAGATCGCGCCCGCACACACAAAGCAATTACAACACACACACTGCGTCGTTGCGGTGCGCCGCGGTTAATGAATCCCCACGATGGAAAACAAATTTACATCTTCCGATGAGAAACGCTCAGAGTGAAAGACAAGACGGATGACAAAGAGACGCGCAACAAGTTAATAGGACGACACACGCGTTGATTTAGTACTGATGATAATGAACACGTTAGAACACCATACACATCGGATATCAATTAATAAATGTCACATGTGATATATATATATATACCGTGTTATCTTCCAATAAAAACGTCATGCATCGAGAAAACAAAACTGTAACGCACATAAAGATCAACGTCAGATCAAAATTCGGAAAAAATTTCGTACAACTTGAAAAGAAGCTTCGAAGGGGGGAAGGGAGAAAAACACAATTTCGCGTTTCAACCCTTTCGCAAAACACGTTTCTCTGCCTACCTTCGCCGCCAATGTTTCCAGAGGAGGAACTTGGAGACATTCTTTTTCGCTACCGGATTCACCGTGTACGTGCCGCTTTCGATTTTCAGCGGCATCCTTCGGCCGCGAACGCGTCACACGTTTGCGGATCGCACCGACGACGACGACGACGTGGGATCGCCGCGAGCCGATATATCGATCGCAAGACGATCTGCGAATACCGTCAAAAGGGATGATATTGCACGCGCATTACTTACTCGCCGCGCGTATTTCTCACACGGCGATAGCCGTGATCGTTGAAATATGCGATTACAAACGGTGTTGCGTTCGTGCGTGAGAGCTAGTATCTTATAAAGTGTATATATACACGTCTGTATTCTTTTTAATTAGAGTAATTTAAAACAAGTTTATATTTTCTTTCTAAGATTATTACCCAGCAGTTTTGTCAATACGTTTTCACGAGCGCGTTGCACGCTTCGTGTCGGTCGCTTTTGTGGAAAAGATATACCGCGGTTTCACCTATGCCGATCACACCGTCGATCCGTCTATTTCCGATCGATCGAAGATTGCGCGCGGCTCAAGTTGCAATTTTTCTTTTTTCTTTTCTTTTCTTTTTTTTTTTTTTTATTTTTACGTCGCACCCTTTGCCGCCGCGACACGCTCGCGAGCACGTTTCTAGGATGACTAGTTGCCGAGGACTGGCATTCCCCAATCTTGTCTCTCTTTACCGCGACTCTCTCTCTCAACGCATCCTCCTTTTCTCTCTTCCTCCGGCTTCTCCTTCTCTCTCTCTCTCTCTCTCTCTCTCTCTCTCTTTTGCTCCCCCCAATCCTTCGCCTTTCCAGCCGGTCTCTTTATCTTTCCCCGAGTTGCGGGTATTTTTGGAACACTCAAAAAACCACGATGGCACACGGTGCCGCTTTCTCCCGTCATCTCGCTGCTCTCTTCTTCTGTTTCTCAGTCTCTCTCTCTCTCTCTTTCTCCCTGTTTCTCTCTCTTTGCGCGGATATTAACGCGTGAACGAATGTGGAAGGGCACACGAATTTAAAGGGGATGATGAGCGGGAAGTCGACTGGTATATACGCACGTGCTCGGCACGCGCGCGCGCACTCTGAAGAGATGTTTCAAAGGCAGCTTTATTCGCGTAATTCGCGAGAAATCTTTTCGCGAATCTCGATATATCTTTCTTTCTCTCTCTCTTTCTCTCGATGTAACAAAGAACTTTCCGGTACAACAAAATCAAAAATATTTTGAAAATTAGCGCGTCAACATCTCGAAATTATTTGCAATTCAGGATTGAAAAATGAATATAATTTTTCAATGCAAAACTGTTCGTTAACAAACACGGACGTTGCGTCTTCAAAAGGAAACGTTCGAAAACAGCTGAAATTTTACGTGCGGACGAGCGAGTAAGCGTCGCGCAAGTTGCTCTCTGGCTGGGGGCTAATAACCCCTTTGGGTTTCTGTCATCGTGGTCTTTTACGGACCGTTAATCCGTAAGCGCTTTTATGACCGGTGTAATAGTTTCTCGTCGGGGTTGCGCGAGACGTTCGTCGCGAAACCCGATCCGGTAACACGTTCATCCGCGCGTATATGCAAAAAGCTGTCGCGGTTTGTGTTTTGCAATTCGATATAATTTATCTGCCCCTAAAATCGAAATTTTCCAGAGAAACGTCGAAGATTTTACGCACACGAGACGTTCGTGCGACACGCGAGCTATAAGTCAGCAATAAAAATCGAAATTTACGGCACGTCCTAAACTTCGAGGCGAACAAAGTCTTCGTCTAGATTGCAACGTGTCGGCTTTGATAT